CTGTTATTGTAAATGGATCATCTAATCTACAACACAAGGGCCATGAAGGCAAACGGAGAATCAGGGCTGAGTATGTAATTAGTACAGATAGTTGTGTCTGCCCCCTGGGCATAGTTAAACTGATTACAAATAGAAACAGATTTTTAGATGTAGCTTGGGGGAAAAAAATCTCATTGCTGGCCCAGAAGGTTCTCACAGAAGAACCACTCCAAGAGAGAAGCAATATGTCCCCTTTAAAACATACGCCTAACATGATGAAAATATAGGCTGGAAAATCACTGAAAAATATGAGTGATTTCAAATAAAACAGTTTGTGGTGTTTTCCATAATACATCTGGTTTATAGCAAAACCGAATTGTTTCATTTGGTATAGATTTAGCTTTCTGTAGATTTTTTTTTTTTTTTAATATGTGCTACTCACTGATCCCAAGCTCCTGTTCCCACAGGCTTCTTGTTTCTTCAGGACAAGATATCTGACTCTGTCTGGCTTAGGGCTGTGCTTCACACTGATACCAGAGTTCTTCTAAGCACTGAGATCAGATTGTATACGTCCTTACTGAGAAACTGTCAGACAGCCCCTCCCGCTGCCTTCACAATAGTTTTAGCATTCTTAACCACATGTTTGGGCCCAAATTTGTCCTTCTTGTCTCACCTTTCACCAGTACCACCTCTGATCACAGATGTGATTCATGTGTGCACCCATCACTCATACACACGCAAGCAGTGAGTGTGCATTCTACCCCTCACACCATAGAGGCTCCTCGCTCTTACTGAAAAGCCACTGCTACAATCTCAGTTCTTAATGATTTTTCTCACAGTGATCTACCTAGGAAAAAAAAAAAAAAACACTTCAATGGCCCGACGTAGCCATTACCATGCTTCCTGATGTATATAGCCAAGTTGGCTTAAGAAATCATCCCTGGGCTGGAGAGATGGCTCAGTGTTTAAGGGAGCCGACTACTTTTCCAAATGGACCCAGGTTCGATTCGCAGCACCCACATGACAGCTCACAACTGTCTGTAACGGATATGACACCTTTACCCTAATGCACATAAAAATAAAAATTAAATAAATTATTTAAAAAAAGAAATCATCCCTGATACTTCCATTTGGGAAGCAGCCCTACCTTGGCAACTTGCCAATGTCTTTGGATGAGCCCTCTCTGTGTTCTGAGGGATATCTGCTTTATCTATTGATGTAGTGCCCTTGCCACATTGTGGAATTCCTTGAAGGGGTAGCTAAATTTTCCCTCAGTCTTCTGCTTCCTCCTTGGGACACCATAGATAGGCTAGCATGGTTTGTTAAATGATACTGGATTCTATTTCCTCCACCCAGGAATATCCTTATTTCTTTTTGACCAAGACACATTTTCTCCCTATCTCCCATAAAATACTCTCCTATTGTTCTCAGATACCCCTTTCAGCTCTAATCCTCAAGGTGGTGCCCCTGGCCTAGAGTGTTGCTTTGCTGGGCATCCTGGCAGTCTACTCTTCAGGCACGGAACTGAGGGATTGAGTAATAGACTTCTCTTATTACTGAATGGATAGCCTCATGACATCTCTAGTTATAATTTAGATAAGGATGTTCCTAGAGGCCATTTGATGGCTGAGATTTGTGTCTGGCGTCTAGTGGCCTTGGTCATCATTACTCATTTCTTGGGAAACAAAACTGATAATTTCTACCTCAGATCCCCAAATCAAGAACTCCTTGCACTATTCTATGAAGTTTAATGAGGTTTCTCAGTCAAGTACGTGGTCAACTTGATATGGTAACAATGCCTTTTGGTCATGTTTGGAATTTCCCTTTTGCTATGTATATTCAATAATTGAGGGGCTCTTTTTAAAAAAAAAATTGGAAACTATTTCTTCTTAGTTCTGTGGCATATTTGATATACAGTATTTTCCAAGAAGCAATATGTTGGGTCTGAAAAGATGCCTCAGCAGTTAAGAGCTCTTGTTCTTGCAGAGCATTCGGATTCATTTCCTAGCACCCACACAGTGGTTCACAACCATCCGCAACTCCAGTTCAGGGAAACCAATGGCCTCTTCTGACCTCCATAGCACCGAGCATTCATGTGGTACACATGCATACATACAGACAAAACACTCACACCTTAAATTTTAAAAAGAATACATCTAATAAAAACTTTTTAAAATTAAAAAAAAGAAACAGCATGGCTTCATAAGAGGTGTATGGTCAGACCCGGGATTCAGATAGTACAGCTACTGCTTACCAGTTGTGGACCAAAATCATTACCCTGAACTTGAGCTTCCTTTCTCATAAAATGGGAATTCCAATTCATACTTCAAAAGGTGGTGGGAAAGGTTCAAGTAAATGAGATAAATGTCACTTTGCCTGGTATAGTAATTTACTTAGAGGTCATTATCATTTCTCTCTTTTTTAAAATTAATTTTTCATTATCATTTATAAGCATAATGTTCAGGGAAAACGAGTTCAGTCCCTAGAACCCATGTGGAAGAAAAGAAGCTATGCCTAAGAGTGGCTTTATGACTTCCTCCTATCCATCTACACTCACACATGACATACACATTAAATAAATAATAAGTAAATAAATAAAACTTGCATTTAAAAGGATTAAAAACTCCTGGATTGAACAGAAGTGTTCCACCTGCTGTAGCAGCTACGGTCATCAAGACTGTTTAGTGTTAGTAGATTATTGACGAGCAAAGCTAATGGAGCGGGAGTGAAGTGGGAACATGAATAGATATGGTTTCATCTTGATGTTGGGCAAGAGTATCATCCAGAAAAGGAATGTAAAAGCAATGCTGAGAGCCCTCTCATTCGGGTCAATCCTAAAAATACCCCTCTTCGCTTAAGTGGAAAAGCTGCCGTGGGACCCAAGGCTTGGCTTTCAACAGATCAGCCATATGTGCTTTCTGCTTTAGTGAAATCTGATCACCACCTAAGCCTGTGCTATCCTTGCCAACTGACAGCTGACCCTGGCCGTCTTGTGCTCCCCACATAGTTCACCTTTCAGAGAAAGAGGTCTGATCTCCAAGTAGAGTGTTGCTCTTTGTTCTTTCCCCCTTTTCTTTTGTCTGTCTGTATGTACTGAGGGGGATCTGGATTACAGCCTGCTAAATTACTTTTCCTGAGTAACAGAGTTCCCTGTAAAACAAGATTTGAATTACTATCAGCACTCGGGCAAAAGAAACTCGCTTCAATTTTAGAGGAGTAAAACAGAATCAGATTTATACATATTAAAAACTAAGTTATCACCTCATTGGGACACAATGACAGAGAATTTTAATAAATCGTAAGATCAAAACTATTTATTTTGGGTTAATATAAGCAGATGATACAATATAATACATATTGTCAATACCCATCACAATAAAAGACAGATAATATAGAACTGTTATTCACTGAGAAATATAATTAGTAAGACAAAGCACAGAAAATCTTGATCTATACTGTTGAACAAATGTATGCGAATTAAAGAAACATTGAGGTAAGATGTCTTGTTTCTTCAAGTGAGACACATTAAAAATGGTTCTCCCATCATCCCTGGTAGCATTATAGATTGCAATATCTTTTTTGCAAAGTGGGGGTCACAGGCTATGAAATCAGACTCTCTAGCTTTGATGTCCTTGGTTTTGCTTCCTGCAGTAACCAATGCCAGCTTCAGAGCTGCCCTGGTCTTGGACCCTGTTCTGCATTTACTCAGGACAAGATGAGTCCCCACACTTGCTTCCTGGGACTTACTGAGTATTTCCATAGCCTGTAATAGGAGCTCTTCCTTCCTCTTCTTGCCTTCATTCAGTAGAATCCCAGTCATTTCCGCTGAGCCTGTTGGTATGCCTCTCAGCCCCACAGGGGGATCTTTCTGGACCCCTAGCTATGGGAGAGTTGGCTGGTTAGTGAGTGGCTCACATCACCTTCACAAGATACTGAAATAGAAACATTAGCCATTGAGTCAAGAAAAAAACAAGGGAGTGGATTGGATCTGGAGTTGCAAATTTGCAAAAACAAAACAAAAACCCTAACCCCTGGACTGGTGACCTTGAATTTCACAGTGAAACCTCAATCTGCTTGGAGTTGCCTTACAGGGGACTTTTGTATCAGACCAAATCAAAGGCATCTTGTTTCTTTCCAGAACTATGTACGTTTCATGCATAACAGGCAAAAAATGGCAGACTTGTACCCATTAGCCTCGCCTTAGCCTTAATTCCCTTGGAATCAAATTATATCCTATGCTTTCAGGCATGTCCAGCTAGAAGCCTCATACACCTGAAGATAGCTAGGAATGTACCCAACACAAATTCATCAATTTACTTAAGACATTGGGAGAATATGGGGTAACATTTTCTGGAGGGGGATAATTTGATTGACTAATTCTCAAATGTAAACTTAGTAGGTGACAGTGCTCTATCACAGTGTCAAAAGGTTGGACATGCTTAATCAGTAGATGTGCCTTTTTGCTTTTATGAGAGAGGAAACTGTATATAAGAGGAAATATTTGAGGAAAAATAAAACATCTTTCAACAGAAAATTACCCTGTCCTTCAACACTAACTCAACAAATTACCTGTGATAAGATTATCAGTCTGCTATATGGGGCTAAGGAAAAGTACACTATATATTCACCAGTCTCCCTCCTTCCCTTCCCCAACACGTAAGGACAGATAAGTTCACCCACATAGCACATGTTGTAAGTACTGATGAAAATGACCTTCAATTCAAGGGTACAGGTCCTCCTGGGAGATGTTGCAAAGGGCCTACAACCCCCCCACCCCCACTGTGTTGATGGAGCCAAAGCAGAAAGGGGAAGGTTTACTGACTCACTCCCCATTGCAAAAGAGCGCTTCTGGTCATACTCTTTCACTCTGGACCTTCCAAAGACACCCTCTCCTTCCCATCTCTGGAAACCCTCCCTTCCCAAACACAAGAAAAATACAAGAAGGGGCTGTAAGCTGTGAATGCTGTAGACCTTATGGGGCATATAACCCTACAGCTCAAATCCTTCTTCTCTTTTCACAGAACTGTCATATGATGTGGATGTGGACGAGGCTCCAGGGAACAAGCAACATGTGAATGAGAAGGACAACGAGATCACCACCTCTCACAGCGTGGGGAACATGCCATCCCCCCCAAAAATCCTGATCAGTGTGGCCATCTATATGGCATGCTTCTTTTTCCTGGGGCACTGACTCGCCAGTACCCAGGTGCCTGTGCTGCCCTGCAGCACCCTGTGGTCCTCCTACATAAAGGAAGCCACCTTCTTCCTTTTTTTTTTCCTATTTTTTTTCCTATGCCTCCTCCCGCCATTAAGTAGGAGACTAACCGCGTGTTATGTTTTCGAAAATCAAATGGCATCCTTACGAGGAAGGTAAATTTTAGTGGTAGAATAGTTTTTTGTTTTTTGATTTTTTGAAAAGAAAAAAAAAAACCTTCAAGTTGTGCCAAATTATTTTCTTACATTTGACTGCTATAACATGGTTGTCATGTTTCCCTCTTTTCTCTTTTTCTGCATGGATTTCTTTGAAAAAAATAATAAACATTCAAATAAAATGGCATTGAGTCCTTTTTTTTTTTTTTAATAAACTGTCATATACTTTCTCCCTTCATCCAAAATGTTTCCCTCTTACGTGGCTTTCTATTCAGTATAATCATATTAGGATCCAAAAAGTCCTTGCAACCACTATTTTACCTACACCTTCTGAGTAAGTACCAATGCTGGCCTCAAGTCCTAATTAAACATCTCACTCTCAAGATACATTGCCCAGTCTCCACAGAGAAACCTTAGGTAGAATTGTCCTGCCTATTCGACCAAAGGTGGCTCAAAGAGTTCTGCCATGGCCCCTCTTTTCAAATTTCCTCCTTGAGCTGAAGAAATACCCCCATTGCTAACTTGCTTGCCTTAAAACATGAGGACGTGTGTTCAATCCTCAGAATCCACATGAAGAGAGCAAGGTGTGGTGGCATCTGCTTGTCAGCCCAGCTCTGTGGAAGCAGAGACTGGAAGAACCCTGGGTTTGCTAGCCAGCCAACCTAACCGACTCAATGAACTCCAGCCCAGTGAGAGGCATTGTCTCAAAAAGCTAGGTAGAAAGCATTTGAGGAACCTAAAGTTAACCTCCAGCCTTCACATGCACCAGCACGCATACAGACATACGCAGACACACAGATTTCAAATAAAAGTGTTACTGTGTAGGTTATTTAGAAGCCATCAAATTAATATTCTCCTTTTTTTTTCTAAGCTAGAGGGTTGGACCCAAGCAGCACACCCAAAGAATTCTCTCAGTGCTCTTCTGCTGTCTTAGGCTTGTTCTCCTGTCATGTCTCCCTTGAAACACTGCAGCATGACAGAGCTAACAGATGCCCTGGGTCAGGTTGTAAAAGTTGCCATCAGCAAGCTCATGATTTACCAGAAGCCTCTCCAACCCTCAGCCTCAGTTGGCTTCTTCAACAGGCACTTACTTAACCCTTGATTTCTGTGACCCTATTGAGTGGTGAGAAATGAGACACTAAGACAGAGTGGCAAGTGTCACAGCCCTCAATTCCTACACCCGTGGAGCTGAAGGGCCAGCACCAAGACTAATTGTAACATTGTCCTTTTATGAACTTCAGGCCCAGTATTAGGACTTCACTCCATTTTTGTGTACATATAATAGCATCTCAAGCACTTATGTTACTTAAATTATCTTCCTGCTGTCAAGGAACTCAAAGGAAGGAATAACCTATTTGACTTTTTAAAATCATGTATGTAATGCTCTGCATGTGTCCTTCCTATCAGGTAATGTCAATAAAGAGAGCCAGGGTGAGGTGCAGGGAGAGGATAGTCAGTCTTCTTTGATTCTAGGAACCAGTCCCCTGCCGAAGCTCCAGCTTCAGTACCATAGTAGGAGGTAACTGCAGGGGAAGCAGAAGGTACAATTTATCACAGCTTAGCATCCCACCCAACTCCTCACTCCTGCTGTCACCAACATCCTTCTGTTGACTCCTTGACGAGCATAACTTTCCAATATCCACTAGTCCTCTTCCCTAGCATAAATTCCTACAAACAGGAATTGGAAATTCGAGGCTAGGCTTTTTCTTAAAAAAAAAAATTGTTTTTGTTGTTTTTAGTTTTATTTTCTGACATGCGTGATTCATAGTGGTTGGTGGGATGCAAGAATCAAGAAGCTATCTTTGGTTTGGAAATAGTTTGAAAATGCACCCATTCTTGTTTCTGAATTTGAATGAGGTTTGTAAGAACCTTTGCTCTTGGGTTTATTAAAACCAAACACTGGGAATAGTCATTCCTTAGATTTACAGTCTGATTTGCTAGCAACACCAGATCAGAAGAAAGGCTTAAACCTTGTGACCATCGAAAAACTGTCCCTTTCATTATGCAAAAAGTTTTATTTAATCTGGCAAAATAGAAGGAGGGGAATGAGGAGGAGGAAGAGGAGTATATTGGTGGCTATGAAACCATGTTATGCTTCTGCAAGCAAAAGATCATGGTTTTAATATCTCCACTTTGAGAGTCAGACAAAGGAAATTGTCCATCTCAGCAACAAGGCACTATGAACATGAATTATCTCAGGTATTTTCCTATAATAACGGAAAGCTAAGTGAAACACCCATTGATGTCCACTGTTAATTAGGGAGGAGGAGGCTGAAGATGAACTCATCACCTTCCACATACTATGTGTTTTACCACTGAGCACAACCCTCAGCCCCTACTATTGAACATCTGATTTTCAGTCAGTCACTTTCCCCCTTTTCTCTGTAAATGTATATTTACACATTTGAGATCATATTAACATACAACTTATTATGTGAAGTCAAAATCTCTCTTCCTATTATGTCAGCCCATGGATCTGGCTCTTCCATTAAAACAGCAACAGGAAATTAAGGATAATATGATGACTTTTCACAATTATCCTTCAACAATAATTTTACATTTGTTGTCCCTCTTTTTGCTACTTTGCTTTTCTAAGAATGTCTTATAAAACCCATAAGTACCTGATTCCTTTTCCATGCTGAAATGGGTCAGTAGCTGGACTGCTGGGCCCATTGCTGTACCTTGTGGTGCAGGTTCAGATGGAGCAGAGTGGAAGAGTGGCCATTATGTTTCCACAGATGCTTCCTTAGCAACCATGTACTTTGATTTTTTTAAAACAAGATCTCTTTTAGGCTAGCTTAAAACTCATTATGTAGTTAATAGAGGATGACTTTAAACTTCTAATTCTTTTGCCCCTCGCCCCTCCTTCCCCCCCCCCCCGAGTTCTGGGATTACAGGCATCTGACACCTACTTTGTGTGCTACAGGGCCTACTAGGCAAGTACTCTACCATCTGAGCTATGGCCCTAAAACATCACACCACACTGGACAAATTATCTTGTGACCAACGGAACTACCAAGATAGCTTTGTAGAAATGGCTACCAACTAAGTCTTTCCATTTCATATTTGTATGTTTTGTGGTTATTTTTTGTTTGTTTGTTTCCTTGCTTGCTTGCTTGTTTTTTTTTTCTTTTTTCTTTTGAGAGAGAGAGAATTTGTCTCCCTGGGTAACCTTATTGAGCAAGGCTAGACTTGAACTCACAGAGATCCACCTGCCTCTGCCCCCTTAGAGCTTCAAGGAAGTGCACATCACCATACCAGCTAGACCCACAAGTGGTTTTCAACAACAAAAGTCTAAATATTTTATTTTGTCTACCTGATATACCAGACAGTATCCCTGCTCCCCCACCACCACTTCTATATGTGTGTGTGTTTGTGTGTGTAGTTAGTAGGGGAGATGGTGGTTAGCGGTAGTAGAGAAATTCTTTTCTTGCCAAGGCCTCAGCATGTTTGGAAGTCTTTTAGAAGCCCTGCTGAGCTGGTTTATGTGCCATACAAGCAAATCAGCCTTCTTTCATGAAGCTCACACCTTGCTTGGAGCCAACAGTGATATTATTCAGCTTGATCAGACACCTCATTCACTAGCTTTGCTGCCAAGTGGCTTTTAGCTGTTTCCAAAAAATCAAATTGCCTTCAAGAAACAACTCCTCCCCCACCCACCCACCAGAAGATTCAAAGAATGTGCTGTGATTAAGAAAGGTGTTTTTTTTTTTTTTTTTTCTTAAAGAAAACTTCCAAAAAAAATTTGAGGATACTTTCCCTGGCACAGTCATTCCCTTCCAAGGGGGCTGCTTGAAAAGAAATGGTGTTAGGTAGAATATAGTTAATCTGCTTGGTTTGCCAAAGAGCTGCCAAAATAATCTTACTGCTTTTTACCCACATGTATATGGCGACTGGAAAGATACACACTGAAAATAGGGCAGAGGTCCTCTGGGTGGCTCGGTGGATAAAGGAGCCTGTCACCAAGGCTGAGAGTCTAAATTCTAACCCCAGGACCTACATGGTAGAAGGATAAGACCCACTCCTGTCAGTCAACATGTGCTCTCTACTTGTTCATACAATGAATCAAAAAATGCAATCTTAATTTTTATTAGAGCAAAGGGTTGGCATGAGGTTGCTGCCTGATAAGTGTTTGATGAACCCAGTGCTCATGTTACAAGTACTTTTGAGTAATGCTTTGTGCGTATACCGTATCATGTACTAAGGACATAATCTGACAGGCCTAATCACTGCCTTCTTCAGATTTCACAACTACTTGTCTGATTCAAATAGGGAATTGCAACAAAATCGAAACACTCTTTGTAATAACAGTGTGATATGCACAATAGAGTAGAATGCAGTAACGTAATGTTCAACCCCCCAAAGACAGTGTAGAAGACAGCACAGAAGTTGTAGAGATTGTAAAGTATAAGGGATGTGAAGAGAGTGGAGAAAGTGACCTTTGCAGATGGAGAAAAATACAGTATGTCATGAGTGTGTGGGGGAACTATAGACAAGGTAGTTCATGGCTGCGTTCCTGGTGATGGTGAGACAAAGCTAGTCCCCAAGCGCCTTCCTAGCATTAGGCACAGGTACAATGTGTAGTAAAGCACACATGAAGTATTAGGCAGAAATCAGAAGCAATGAACCTCCTGTAGACCCAAAAGCATAAAGGGGGTGTTAAAAACAATATGGGATACTGAAAAGTGTTTGTTGCCGAGCCTGATGATCTGAGTTTGAGCCACAGGACCTACATGGTGGCAAGAGAGAACAGAAGCCCTCAGGTTGTCCTTTAATCTGTGTGTGTTGGGGGGGTGTTGGGTGTGTTTGTGCATCTTTACACAAAGCAAATAAATGTAAGAAAAAAAATTTTAAACCATAGTATGACCTAGAATGATGGCTCATGCCTATAATCTCAGCAATCTAAGTGCTAAGGCTAAAGGAACATGAGTTAGAGGACTGCCTGCATAAAGTAGTAAGACCCTGCCTCCAAAACTCAGAAAACAGAGTTGATTCTATTGGAGATACAACTCAAGAGGTAAAGTACTTAGCACGAACTAAGGCCCTGGGTTCAAACCCTGGCACTCCAAAACACAGCACTACTCAGGCATCCGTGGTACAGACTCTTCAGCCTCAGTTCTATGCCTTGGCATGCTGGCCTAGGCCACAGTCGCAGCCTCAGGCAT